CTTTCCCTTTTTTCCAACTACCAGTTATGAAATCACTTTGACATTCATTTAACAAAAGCCTTCATTTAGGGTGAAGAGACTGCATTCCTTCCAGCAGGCTACAAATTTGATACCTATTGTTTGTAAATGTTTATAACTATATGATTTTTTTCTAAGGAACTGACCCAAATCTACAGAGAATAAGAATGCTCTGCTAGTTATGGTAACAGCCTAGAACTTGGAAATGTATTTACATTTAGATAACCAAATTCAGTACAGACATTTTAATACCCTGCTCTCCCATGAGTTCCTTCTTCCTTAAAATGCCATGCATGTGTGGTTGGCTTACTTATCCAGGATGCTGGAAGCTCAGAATTACCTCCAAGTCAAACATAGTATAAAAGTCAACTACTTTGCAGTGCAGGTGAGAAAAGGAAGGAGAGGAAAGAAACTACAAACCTGCTTGCTTTATTTTCAAAGCACTTTCATCTTGCTGGGGCTTTATTACATATTCTATCTTCCAGAGACAGCACAGCCACGAATACAACTGAAAAGCCTGGCAGTTCAAACATTTACTTGGGAAGGTAGACTTAGGGTTCAATTTCTGTGCATGTTTTCTTCCAGAGAACACAATATTAAATATTTAAACAATAATTAGATCAGGGACTGCAACTGAGGTTTCCCTCTTCATTTGTGGATGGGAAAAACAGTGCTGCATCATGAATATTTTTGTTTCCTCTCTCTCTCTCATTTTTGTTTAATGAATATTTAATCATTCCATATAATCATTCACTGGGAGTCAGGCTAAAATTTTTCTCCATTCCCACTCCCATCTCTAACCTATCCAAGTGCTAGGGGAATCTCTCCTCTCTAGAATATGGGACAAAAGTGTTTGAATCTATTAGACAGAAAGGCTATGAAAAAATTTCTTCCAGTGTCTCAGTTAACTTCTCCCACTGCTGCTCTAAAACAAGATAAAAGCTGACCAGCACTTCAGCAGTTCTACGTTGAATGAACGGCATAAACCCTACTTGAAATAATAAATAACTTTCAGGCATCTGTCTTTGGGGCAAGTTCAGAAGCATGATGTTTGGAGTGGTGCATTAGCTTAAAAACTAATTACTAATATAAAATTACAGTGTGTAAAAAATGGCAGCTTTAAAACACCCCACCCCCTCTGTAGCATTTGCTGTTTTATTTCTCCTGTGACCTATGTAAATACATGCCTGACTCTTTCTGTGAATACTGTAAATGCTGTATGTCAAATCTACCTTCTGGATTCAACTGCGATGCCGAAGCACCCAAATTCTTCTGCACTTTTTACTCCTTGACTCAGTTCCCTAATCTAAAATTGGGAGATTAATATCTTTCTAGCAAGAAGGGAAAAGATTCACATTAATAATAAGGTGCTATGGAAAAGAAGACATTTCAACGTTGTGGAGTGTTCAGTTACCCTGATGAGCAGTCCAGTAGCTACCCAGACAGATGAACACTAGGAAATTCACAAGTATCTTTCCTTTGATTTTTTTTGGACTTTTGGGTTAGTTCTTGAAGCACCTATTTTACAAAACAGTTCAGGGGTTAGTGGTTCCCCAGTACTCTTAGTAAAACACTTTGTACCTCATAAACCTATTTTCTAAACAGGTTTTCTGCTATGACTATATATTTTGTGACACATTAATTGCCACATTGTTACATTACTGATTTTACAGCCAAACACTATTCTGTACTACTTGGTAGCAAGAAGCACTGTTCAGATGGCCCCACAGTGTTTATTAGTAGCAGTTACCAAAATAAAAAAGATACAGCGATATAATAGAAGTTTGTGACTTAAATATACATGATTTGTTGTTTGGGGAAAAAAAAGATGAAGAATGTGTACTGCAACTTGTGTAGCTCTTACCCGTATGAGGAGCCATAACAAGATCCAATCTAGAAGTGTTACATTAGTATGCCCATCTTACCAATATGCCTACGTCAAATTTGTGACTGGTTCGCATTGGCAGCGCTTGATACAACTTCAAGGACATGCTCCTTTTGTACAGTCACTTAATACTTTACCTTTCTTTTTCTTTCTTTCTTTAACAAGTATTTGGGAATTATTCCCCTTTCACACATGCAACATGAAAAGAAATATAGTACAAAAAAAAAAAAAAAAGATACAGCATATAAAAGAAAACAAATGAAGCAGGTAGAAGCCCATAAATCATTTTATAGCAGGTGCACAAGTAAAAGATGAAGTGAGGTCAGCAGAAGTTAACAAAGATGAACAGTGCAAATTTTAAGGAGGATTATGCACTGGTGGAAAGAGAAATTGTCAACCATTGAGAACTGTCCCTGTGTTGCACTGAAGATTCCTCTTCCCAAGATGGGATACTTGCATTAAAATGCCCAGAGAGAAAGCCAAGACTAGACCAAAAAAATTCCATCCTCAAGGACTGCAAGATATATTTAGTAGTTATTTTGTATTGTGTAAATAATCCATACATTACCTGTAGATATGAGTACACAATCACATTCTAGTAAAGAAGACGAACACTAATTATTTATCATACAAGCCACCTGGAAGCTGCAGGTTGTAAGCAAATAAAGTGTTCTCCTATAAAGCAATTCTATTCCAAGAATAGCTCCAAAAATTGAATTGTATGGCCCCATGTGTATTGCCTTTCAGTTACTCTTTATCATGTGCGCATTTTTTTTAATGCAACCCTACAAATTAATCCAGCACCCACAATAATCTAGGATGTCTCTGTCTTGTGCGTTATCAAATATACCCTCAGTGAAAATGGTGAAATTGTGAAATTCTGAAATCATCACTGAAACTGAATTAAATAAATAACTCTGTAGACAAAAGGACACCCAGGGGTGGCATCTCTGCACAACTTATCTGAAACGACATCCTACAGGTGACGCAGGGAGAAGAGATTGCACCTGACTCCCTTTTAGCTTTGTATCCCACCGGAGTGACCACGAGCAGAGCTGCAAACTAATGATCTCAAAAAATCACCCTATGGGAATTTGGCTACCCACAACATATAGCTTCACTCATTAAGAAGCCTCATTTCTAAAAAGGTAGAGTCTAGAAATCATTGGTAATGATACACCTTCTTGTTTTACTACAGCCATTTGGAAAGATAAAGCTAAACAAAGATGGAGGAGATAAGGGGGGAAAGAACTACTATCATTTCCCCCCACCAAGAAGAGTCTAATTACAGCCATTTACCAGCTCTGTAAATGTATGACTAGTACCCTGAATTACTACAGACCTTTTCCAGAGAGATGTCTGATGTGCTTTAAAGATTTTTTTTTTTTTTGTACAATAACACCAGACAGATTAGAGAGTAACAGTCGCCAAGCTGTGTCAGACCAAAGGTCCATTAGTTTAATATCCTGATAATGGCCAGAGCTACATGCTACAAGAAAGAACAGAACCAGAGCAAATGTACACGCTATTACATTTAAATGTCACCATCAACAGGAATGGAATTAATAAGTTTTTGCTACTCTTCCAGAACGCTATATTCTTCAGTCTTTTCTTTTGCCAAGTGCACTGATGTTAAAATCCAAGATAGATTTGTTTACAGGAGAGTTTGTCCCATAGCAAATGCTGTTGGCATAAGACACCTACTGAAAGCAAGTGGATTTGCTGTCCAATATCTAATTTTGTTGGTTCTTCACTTGTCAGAGCTGACACAACCTAGCACAAGGCTTGCAGGATTACTATTTAAGACCCTACTGGCTAAAAGATGTCCTGCTGTAAGTCAGGCAGTGTATCACTGAGTCACCTAGAAGAACTAAGCTGTACATAGGCAGCTACGTAACTTCTTACTTCAGTAATAAACTGCGCTGCCAGCTTCACTTTTCAATATCTTAACCCCCCCCCCCCCCCCCGCTTCAGCCAGTTCTGGTTTTGCATGTCCATGTAACTCCACACCAAGAATCTAGTTCTTAGAGCGCACAGCACATTAGCAGGGCAAGAGGGAAACATGTAAGTAGTAACGATGCACTACCAATAAGAAAGAAATCCTAGTCTTTTACATTAGAGATAACGGTAAAAATATATTAATGTAAAATTAATTATACTCAATCAAAATAAAAAAAAAAATTGAAACTCCATTCAGACTATACACATTAAAGACCTACCTCCAGAATATCTATCAGGACGTTCTCTTCTGGCTGCTTTGTGCTCCGGACGTTCTCTAGCAGGATAGAGTAGTAAACACCTTGCGGGTCAGACTGGTACAGGTTGTACGTGTCTGTCTGGTACCACTCCTGAACAGCCACAAACACCTGGTTTTCATCTGTACTGATTATCTGTAAATCCTGTAGAACAATAGGATACCAAATGACTCATGTTCCTATCATTTCTATTTTACAAATAGTAATAAATTGGCCAGCAGAGTTGAGTACGGGAGGCAGGGGGGATGCATCTGAAAGGACAGTAGTATCTCAACACAATACTAATCAACATGCCGTATCCCATCACTCTGAGGTGCTCAGTCGCTGCCTTCTGGCTACAGGTTATCAGAGTGCAAACCAGCTTAGTGAAGACCAAAAATCATGAATGTGCAAAAGCTGTGCTGTGCTTTGACTTTTATGGGAAATGACTCCCTGAAAAGGAAAAAAGGAAAGGAAAAAGTAAATGATTTTCCAAGACCTGGATGAGAGTCAATGAAAGACTGAAACAACATAAACAAAGCTAATCTAAAAAATAATCCTCAGGTACCTAGAGAATTAAGAATTGTCCAGGGTAAAGCATAACATAGCACAAAGAAGATCAGATAAAATTTACAGCAATTATACATAGGAAGTAGTACCTATCATGCACACAGCTCACGTATATTATAGTACATAATGCTAATTTATCTGTGTAGACAGAGCCACTTAAATACTCAACAGTAATAACATGAGAGTCAACATTCTGCATTCATTTCTCAAGAATTTCAGGCGTGGATTTTGTAACAGCTTCCTTTCAGTTTTCCCAGCTTCTTCACTCCAAACTTCTCAAGACAAAAAATGCACAGCTGGGGAAAATAATGTAACAGTAATATTAAACAGAAAAAATAAATAAGGAATTAGCAACACTACACTAAGCTTAGGAAACAGGAAAAAAAAAAAAGAAGGACATGAGTTTGCAATAGGATATGGCAGCAAAAAGGCACATGTTGGGGCTACATATGAAATGGCATCTAGTCACGGAGACTGAAAGCTTGTAAACTCTTTATGACCTTGGTACTTAACTGAGAAACTGTATACAGTTCTGGTCACCTTATTACTCGAAAAATAACTAAGGTGATGGAGTGAATATGAAATAAAGCTACCAAAATGTCAAGAGAATATGTTTGGGGAAAATTGACTTAAAAATATATAAATATATCAAGAAAACAACTTTGTAGAACTCTAAGAGAGAAATAAAACAAATTTTGTAAGAATCCAGTTAAGACTGAAGAAAATATGAGTAACACTGAATACTTGGCAAAGCATGGCAGTCACACTTCAGGCAACACACATGATGCAACTGAGGCACTTAGATTAAAAAAAAAAGTTAATAAAAATAAAATGGAAAGATTTTTAATATGAACAAAAGTTGGTTATTAAATAATCATTTAGTTAAATTTATTTTTACGTATCCGACACATCTCAACACAAAAGAACCTAAGTGAAGTTTCCTATCGATGACAGCTCAATGCTGTTTTCAAAGACATTCTTGTTGAACTGTGTACTAAAGTAGATTTTTGTTTAGCATCCCATTAATAGATTCCTTTTCTCTTGTACTCAAAAATAACTCAGAGGCAGACAGTCTGCCAGATCTTTAATTCTTTCCATCTGAGTGTGAAATAGTAACTGTTCTGACACAGAAATGCCAGCAAAACACAGCAACGGATCCCAACAGGTTCTTTAAAAAGCCTCTTACATGTACAGAACGCTTCATCTCCTGCCTTAACTATATGGCTGGGCAGCCCACATTACACCACATCTAATACCGAAATCACCTTTTCTTTTGCAGTGTGTGAAAAACTCCCATGATTATCCGTTAAGTAAGGATGGAAGTAAAGCAGGTAGTGAAGCAAGGAGTAAAGAAGCAGTTCTTTTTTTCATGTGAAAATCTCTAGAAAGCCCTTACTCTCCTGGGAAGCCAGGAGCTTTCAGCAAAATTATCATCCACATTATGATAATAAAACATTTATACAGTGCCATAAACAAACACAAAACTCCAGTGAATGCAGGTAAGGCGCTTTCCTTGCTCCAGGCGCTGGTGGGGCAGCAGTGGTTGTACGGGTGGCCCGTGCGGCAGAGGCGAGAGCTGGGAGGAGCACCGGCGTGCCTCTCGTCTCACGATGGGGTAGGAGCTGCTGAGCCAGCAGCAGCAGCACACAGAGAGCCAAAATGTGTGGTGCAGAAGGACAGGAAGATTAATTTTGGGCAGAAAGAAGGATCTGGTGAAAGAAAGATGGGTTGAACTGGAAAAGTTTACTGCATCAAATGAGAGTTTACTTTTCTCTTGGCAGCGACTATTACCCAGAAAGAGGTTTGTACACTCAGAATGCTGGATGCCAATTTTTTCTGAAACAAGAATTTAAGAGATCCTGGTTTTAGCAAGTGAAAATTGCCCTTCCACTGTCTTGAACTTTGTTCCTTCCACTCAGAATTTACACTTTCAGATTTTCAGTTCAGCTTTCATAGTGATTTCTTTTCCCTCAAGAACCAGTCCTTCAGTTATACTACTTTGCAATAATCCTGCATGACACTTTCTGCCCAGTCATGATATAATACTCTGGGAAAATTAATTGACAAAGTAAGGAAAACTGCAAATTTCATGCCCGATTCTTAAATTTATCTTGTAAAACCCTAAATGACACAGACTGCTGAAAATGTAGCTAAAACAAAGCTAAACTGTCATGTCAGTCTTTTACTATTCCTATCCTGGAAAGCTGAATTTAAAAAAGAGGAAGAAGAAATTGAATGACAAATACAGAGGCTGGGTCTTCAGTGTGCCAAGTCCAGCCCTTCAGCCCAGCTACCCGCTGCTCAGATGACAAGCATGTGAAGACGGGATGTCAGGAAATATTGCTAGACAGAACTTAGTGTCACTAAAGAGTTAACTAGTAAGGACATCTGAGAAAGAAGAAATATCTTGATTGAGGCAATGCAAGTTTTTATTGCTTTATCTAATTCATGGCCACAGATACTACCTTAGGCTGTAATCTCAGCAGATCCTATAAGGAAAGCATTTATTCTTTGACGATTTCATGCTTGGACTACTGTAATTGCCTTCTTGCTGGACCTCCTGCTTTCTCTCTCCACATTCTGCAGGATACTCAAAGTCCTGCTGATCATCTAGTTTTTCTGTAATTATGCTATTCACACATGATTTATTCAAATTCATTTATAGAGATCTTCACTTATGTTAGAGATCTTCAGGATTTGGAACATTCCTTATTGTCTCAGATTTTTGTTTATCTCCAGGCTGCTTTTATGTATACATTCAGTATTTTAGCTCTTGTGCTTTCCTTTCACTTTCATGCTCAAATAAGATATTCTGTGCACTTTCAGGTGTCCCAAGGCAGAATCTTTTCCCAAATCTGCCACAGCAACCACGTTGTTTCCTCTGTGACATGCCCATTCCTCCACAGACATCCTTTCTCTCATCTCTACTGCTTTACTTTTGCTCTGTCCAGTCTGACGTGTCTGCTCTGATCCATGTCTTGCTGACCCAAGCATCCATGCTTGCCCTTCTCACTTCTCTCTCTTTTTTTGTTTTTGCAAAGCTTACCATGGCAATTTGTATCAACAATAGACTGTGATTCCCAAACACCAGTACTCTCCATTTATTTTATGTCATCATCTTAGGTTGTAAGCTTCTGTACAGTTTGAGGTGCTACTAGCTGTATTGTCCAAAACTCCTTTTTTCTAACCTCTAAAACCCCATGAGATTTCTCTGTTCTGTTTGCTAAGGTGCTTCTTGTGCACTATATTCTGCTAATTCCTTTGTCACAATGTTTCCTTCATCCTCCTCTCTTTAGTGGGTAATATTATATCACACTATGCACAGATTTCTGTATGTTCATCACTAAAAATCTGTGGAACTACTCATAGGTTCAAGATAGTGAGTTAACCCAGGGCCAGGGATAGGTCTACCTACAGGTGCAACCAAAGAAGGCTGCAAGCACCCTAAAGTCCACTATGTAATCAAGTCCATGGGGTCATTTCTCTATGGGTGGATGACAGTAGGCAGAAAACAGCCTTCAAATAATGTAAACAGCCACCCCAAGGAAAATGGAATAAACTTCTAAGTCTACTTGGAGTTAAATATTGGGTATAAATTGCAATGAAGGAGATTTAGGTTAGATATCAGAATATCCTTCTATAGTAGGGCCCGGTCATACACACTGAGGATAAAATACTCAGGGAGGTAAAGTAGTCTTCATCCTCAGGAGTTCTTAAGAGTAGAGCTTTGGAAAAGGACCTCTCAAGATCCTTTCCATGTCTATTTTCTATGATCCTGTGAAAACAGGGGAAAACAAAAACACATTGTATTGAGATTACTTGAAGTGTTACACATACAAATAGAAATATCATTAAAAGGACAGGATTTGGTTTTTGGTTTCGGTGTTTTTTGGGGTTTTTTTTTTTTTTAATTCAAGAGCTATAATGTGCTGGTTTGACCCTGGCTGGATGCCAAGTGCCCACCAAAGCCCCTCTGTCACTCTCCTTCTCAACTGGACAGGGGAGAAAAAATATAACGAAAAAGCTCGTGGGTCGAGATAAGGATAGGGTGATCACTCAGCAATTAGCATCATGGGCAAAACAGACTCGACTTAGGGAAAATCATTTTAATTTATTGCCAATCAAAACTGAGAAGGAGAGAGGAGTGAGAACGTGTGTAGGGTAATGAGAAATAAAACCAAATCTTAAAACACCTTCCACCCACCCTTCCCTTCTTCCCGGGCTCAACTTCACTCCCAATTTTCTCTACCTCCTCCCCCCGAGCAGCACAGGGGGATGGGGAATGGGGGTTGTGGTCAGTCCATCACACGTCGTCTCTGCCACTCCTTACTCCTCAGGGCCACACTCCTCACACTCCTCCCTGCCCCAGCATGGGTCGCTCTTCCCCTGCTACAGCGTGGGGTCCCTCCCATGGGAGACAGTCCTCCATGAACTTCTCCAATGTGAGTCCTTCCTATGGGCTGCAGTTCTTCACGAACTGCTCCAGCGTGGGTCCCTTCCATGGGGTGCAGCCCTTCAGGAGCAGACTGCTCCAGCGTGGGTCCCCCACGGGGTGACAAGCCCTGCCAGCAAACCTGCTCCAGCGTGGGCTCCTC